ACAATAATCAGTGATAGGGCCCTATGTATATTCTATGTAGAAGACAATAATCAGTGACAGGGCCCTTTGTATATTCTATGTACAAGACAGTAATCAGTGACAGGGCCCTATGTATATTCTATGTAGAAGACAATAATCATTGACAGGGCCCTATGTATATTCTATGTAGAAGACAATAATCAGTGACAGGACCCTTTTTCTGTGAGTTCTTGAAGTTGGATCTAAGTTTTGTAAAAGGCAACATTTATATCAAGTTATTACTTCGCCTAACTAATTACTTCAAGCCTTATTCACATTTTTGTCGTTTGTCTGAGAATGTTTCGCCATTTCTCTCAAGTGTGTTTGAACAAAATGTCCAATTTCACAAATTAATTAAAAAAAAGTTCAAAACCTTTCATCGCTCGAGTTATATAAGTTATTAAAATGCCTTCTAGAATTAAGTAGTTTTAAATTAATTATCTAGTTCTGATCTATGATATATTTTGTGGCCGTTATTTTCGATACGTTCACAGCTCTGCAACAGGCGGAAACTTACGAAATGGTTAATAAGCTACAACAAGTTATACCTTAAATAGAGAACGGTGAATCAAGTCCTTAATTGGAGGTTTAAACGTGCTCTTAGCTCTGATGAAAGATTAAACAGAGTGTGGAACTGCCAAGATTTCTGACAGTTTGCTCTTTAATTACACCAATGTCTAACACGTGTTCACAACTCTCTAATTAAATCTAGTCAAATCTTGGGGATTTTACCCCAAATATTTACTTTGATTGGATATTGTTTTTTGTGTCGTAAACGTCCGTTGTTTCGATCCGGAGTCATGTTTGCGTTTGATGATTTATCTGGGGAAATTATATTTGATTGGATATTTTTAAAGCTTAGTTTCTCGTGTTTATCCAATTTTCTCCCCCATCCCTATCCCCATGGGGCAGCGGTAAGTATACGGACATATAACATTAGAACCTGGAATTTGACTACTTACGGTGGACAAAGCACAGATAGCCCAATGTTAGCCTTGCAATAAAACATTCAAATACATTATTAATTGTAAAAATCTCTCTGTAGTTTTCGTTGTTTATTTGTTATTAAGCACAAAGCTACACAAAGGGCTACCAGTGCTCTGCCCAATACGGGTATCGAAACTCGGTTTCTAGCAGTACAAGTCCGCAGACATACCACTGTGCCACTGGAGGGGGGGGGGCATTTATATCAGTATAACAAACTCTTTCTGCACTTTAACGATAGAATTCTGGGTTTGATCCCACTACAAACTGACTAACATACTTTGAGGCACTTCAGGGTAGATTTTGTCATGAGTAATAACTAATACATTAATTATAATTGCAATTTTAAAGGAACAAATAGAAATGTGTTCTCTTTTAAGTGATTTTTACGACTAATGAAATATGAAACACACACACACACACACACACACAAACCCTGAAATATTTTATTTTCGTTTCAGAAAGTTGTTTCCTTTGGAAACCTTTTATTAGACCAACCTGTGGTCCCCAGACCCTTGGGGGTCCGAGTAATACCATCTCATTAAACAAGCAAGTTTTTTTTAATTCTGCTGTTCTTTTAATTGCACGCTCAGTTGTCTTTATGTCTTTTATTTGATATTGAAAAATGG